CCACTTTATATAACATTTAGTATCGAAGCCCATTTCCGCTATGAAATAAAAACCCAACAGGAAGTCATAATTGAGTTTTAAAGTCTTTGAGTTTTAAAGTCAATGACTTTAAACCGCATAATTATGACTTTTATTTTCGTAATTATGACTTTAAAAGTCGAAATGATGACTTTTATTCTCGTAATTATGACTTTAAACTCATTATTATGACTTTTATTCTCGTAATTATGACTTTAAACTCATAATTATGACTTTTATTCTCGTAATTATGACTTTAAAAGTCGAAATGATGACTTTTATTCTCGTAATTATGACTTTAAAAGTCGAAATGATGACTTTTATTCTCGTAATTATGACTTTAAAAGCCGAAATTATGACTTCCTGTTGGGCTTTTATTTTTTTTTCTTTCATGGCAGAAATGGGCTTCCATACCTTGGGGACAAATTGAAGTTGCAGATTGGTCAGTTGCTGACAAGCATACTGGATTGACTGACAGATGGTGTTGAGGATCTGACTAGTTCAAAAAAAAAAAAAATCAGATTTTATGTTTAAGAGCGCCATAATTTATTCCATATTTATTCAGAATTTCTTCAATATTTTGGTGAATCAAAGGTTTGAGAACTGAGCTTTACAAAATCCTAATGATGGTTTCTTTATTTTTCACGGGTGCAGATTTACAATTTAAGGGTTTTGAGCACCCCCAAAAAGAGGCTAACACTACACTACATGGTGACCACTGATGGCGGGTGATATGCATTCATTCAAGGAATGCTGGACCTTCAATTGAGTAAAATGTTTTTTTTTTTCTTGTTCTTTTTAACCACTAACAAGAACCCAAGTCTGGAGATGCTAAAATAGGAAGAGGTTTCAGAAGTGTAATTTACTCTGGCGCAGGACGATAAATGACATAAGTTTCCACTGAAAACGTTCAAGATGGGAGAACAGTGGGCCGAGGCTAAACAGGCTTCTGTGTTTGCCACAAACTCTTATTTTTTGTATAAAAATAGTTTGCCTCTCGTTCATTCTCTAAAGAACACGGTCTTTTACTAATGCTGAATGGTTCTGGGCCTCTCTCTTGTCTTGCTGATGATTCAGCAGAACACACGGACGCTTTACGCATATTTTAAAACAGCTGAGCTTTTACTGAACACATGGGTCCTCGTATAGTAACCCCAGAACTGCTCATAAACCGGCATGTGCTCATTTGGACAACGGAGTATCCAGAAAAATGTCAAAAGCCTGTAATTATGTGTATATTTAATCTTTATGTTAGCACGTTAGAGATGCATAAATGAACACGCAAAGGGGCTGTTTGAGCTTCGGCGTCAATCTTCCTTTCAGGAAACTGCTTGAGGAGAAAATGGTTTTTGTCGTTTTACTTGTTTCAGCTTTTATTTTTGT